TATCTCCCCCCCCCCGTCTCAGCATTTCAGCCCACTGGGCACTTATTCACTACATTTCCCACACCCTTCCCAACGCAGCAACGGTTCTGCGTTGGACGTCAGATAAAAAAGAACATGGAACACAATGCGTGCAAGCGAGTTAATTTATCTGGTCGAGGGAAAATGTCTTACCAATTTGGGGCAAACTTTTGGCAGTATTCGCATAATAGAAACTATTCTCACAACAGAGACAGCGTGGAAGCAAATGTGGTATTTTGTGTGTGCGATATGGGTCAGGCGAATATTTTGTCGACCTTCTGAAACTTTCTACCGAAGCTTCTCCTTTGCACGCAATGCGTTATGGAATGGTTATTATACTTGAAATGTTTCCACATGGATCTGTTCCAAGCCAGATCTCTCCAGCAGGATAAATTCGTCTGGAAACCCCCGAAGGAGAATCGCTAGCTTTGTGCCATTTCAAATACAATGACGTCAAGTAATCTTTAAAAATTATTATATGCAAATTTTAGTAAGTCTTCCGGACGGTGTGAGTGATTTGTTTCAAGGGTATTTTTCTTCCTCTACAAGCGTATCGACGAAATTATGTTTCTGTTCAGGATAGTATATATTCTCAATTGTAACTATATAGTAACTCAGTTACTGGTTGGATTTTTTTTAAATTTTAGTTGTATTCGCAACACAAAATGCATAATGTTGCAATGCAAAATGCAAAAGTGCAATGAATAATTTTGAGAAATTATTTTTGTAAATAAGCTATGAAAATGCCACCTAGGTTTTCTGAGATTTTGAGCAGTTTGCAACATTTTTGAAATATTCTTCTATTTTCTTCTTTGCTTTTATAACATTCAGACTTACACGCATTATGAATACAAAAGCAAATTTTGGACCATTTATCGATCCAATTTTTTTGTAGCACAGAGGCTTCCCATGCGACAGGTTTAATTCTTTAAAATATTTTCAATATAAGTATTTATATTAATAAATGACTGGTAAGGAGTGTCCTGATGAAATTATAATAAATCAGCGCATAATGTTTTACAGTTTATTTATGAAGATAACATTTATTTTTCTTACATTTCTTGATGGTCAGATAGGACCACATCTTCAGGTTCAAAAGTTCTGGACAAAACAAGTCATTAGTTTATGGTAAAAATTCAGGATGTTCAGAGAGGAAATGTCAAAAAACGCAAATAAGACAATTTTAAGCATGTTTTGTCAAAGTATTTGTTGAGAAAGAAACATTAACACGGAAATAAAAAGCACGCAAATTACACAATTCAACATCTTTTTTTATTTGTGTATTAATTTTTCTTTCGTTCAAATATATTCATCTTCTTCATAAATAAACAATTTACATGTTTCTGAAATGTTTATATGTATCTGCGATGCAAATTTTTTGCATAGAAAGTATTTTTTCAAAACAACTTTTGAGTGTTTATTGCGTCTCAGCCAATCGGAATATCCAAGGAGTTTATTAGACAAAATATGCTTAAAAGAGGAACTTATTTCACATGAAATTTTTCCACAAACTCATTGTAGATTGGATTTATTCGGTACATCTGTACCTGAACATGTATTCTTATTTGACCCAAAACGCCTAAAACAAAGAATGAAGAATATATTTTCTATACATTAAAAAACTTACGCACTACGCACCGATGGTCTATAATTTCATCAGAAAACCCCTTCCGTCATAAAGTGAACGTTCATTTACTATAAAATTAATGAAAATACTCAACAGTAATCATGAACACGCAATTGTAACGTTTTGTATAACATTAAAAAAACGATATGTATTCAGTTTACTTTGAAACGTTAAGAGAAATGTGATTCATTAAAAATACCAATTCTGTCAAAATGTTCCATCTTATAAACCTCTATTTAGTATCTATTAGTATCTCTTGTTAGTATTAGGTATCTATTTAGTATGTAATTTTTCTCGATTCCCGTTTTGATAAAATCAAAAGTATAATTGTTTGCCTAAAGGAGACCTATTTTCTATAAATAAAAGTAAAAGAAAATTAAATAAAAAGCCTCTTGTATCATAGGGATGCGTAATACAACTTCATTCACTTTATCACATTTTCTTCCTGTTAATTAACATGAAACGTACATTCGTTCATAACAAAAAACATTCGTCCGTCAATTACTTATTTTCATTACTAAAAAATTCAGATAAATAACACGAAAATAAAAATATTAAAATTAGATATTACATATACAAAGATTTAACCTATACATCTGGGATGATAAAGATTGCATTTTTTAAAACACAAAACGCGAAGTCCTAGACGCATGACAGCATTCAAACATAATAATAGTTATGAAACGAGTTTTTAGCTCTTAGGATTGTGCCACGTGGCCTGTGGCGCAACATTTCCTACTCGCAAAATAAAATATTTTACGTGTCATACTCAATTTTTAAGTCATTTTATTTCTATTCAATTATACAAATCTCTTATCGGTCAATAGTAGTATCAATCAATCAATCAATCAATTTGGTCAATAGTAGCTGATGCGGCCAGGCGATTTTTTGTTTTTGTTGCATTCAAAGATTATCTAAACACATTACCATCGTCTCACTTTTAGCACTAGTGCTAAAACTTGGATTTCTAGCTCGCTACTACGTCCTGTAAGACTTTTTAGACTAGAGGCTAAAAATTTATTTGTATAATCAGATAATATAAAGGTAATGTCCGATCTCTTTGTCCTCTTGGTGTAATATTTTCAATTTACAGATACCATGATACTTCATTATTTTAATATAGCTGTGACATTTTGTTCCATCCGCACTGTCCAATGTTATTAGGAAATCAAATGACTGTCAATTACAATGATACTAGTTTCTAGTCTCTTAAGTCTGATGTAATTAGCATTCACTAATACATTTATATTAATTTTTACAGCAATCAATGGTTTGAACAGAAATTCACGAACTATTCGAAATACAATTTGTATGAATTTCTTAACGAAATTTTTGCACTTTCGTGTAACAAATATAGTGTTTAACCCCACGGTAATATAATAAAATAAAACGTTTTGTTTGCAACTATTAAATTTTCTTCCATTTTCTTTTCATCCATTCAAATTCAAGTGTATTGTGTTAGGAGTATTTTCCCCTAGGGCTTTTTTCTGGCCGACAGCCAGTTACCCTTTACGACCCAATAGGACGCGTATTAGCTCATACACTAGACACAAACACTGGTTTCTCTAGTCTGGAGTCAGCAGAATGCAAGGCCTCCCGTGACAAACCAAACATGGGAGACGAAGGGGAAACAACTATTCCCGAGCCGAGACTCGAACCCGCGACATTTCGATCCTAAGCGCTTAGTCGGTATACGCACTTAGCCCCATCGGCTATCCAGATCGGCTTATTTTATTTCATTTTATTTATTTATTTATTTATTTATTTATTTAATATTTAAGGTCGCATGAACATCTTTATCATTAGCGACCATTATTGCATTTAAAGTTATGGAAGCTGTGAAGATGAAATGAAATGGTGATGATAGGGGTGAAAGGAGGAACACAAATACAACCATGCCTGAGGTGGTAATCGAACCCGCGATCCGCCGGACCGAGATCGCTACGGCACTTCTGCCTTAATGATTTCGGCCATGCCGAGTGGCGACCTACATTTTTTCATGATGCGAACAAAAATCGTAAGCTACTTCCCGCTTCAGATGTATGTTTGGCCACAGATCCTTCGCAGTCTGTCAGCAACGAGCACACGGCGAATGGAGAATACTTCTTCGTTCCTTCATACGTACTCTAAAGAAGATGCTTAAACCCCTAATTATGAACTAGATAAAAAAGTCAATTCCTAATCATATTCCGCTTCAACATCTACATCGTATTGCGTAGATTCCACAATGTAATACAATGAAAGAATCAAAAGTCGCAGGTTTTGTCCTTCCATATATCGAGATCTTAAGTACTGTGAGTTTTCTGTGAGTATATGTAAAAGATTGATCGTATACAGGTCCCAAAATGTAGAATAGTACATACACTAAAACATTATAAGTAATTTTTTTCTGTTAAGAGTATTTACAGTACCTTTTGTAAGGTAGTAAATAAGTGAAGGGAAAAACAGCATTTCCGCTGGAGCCATGGACAGAGAAGTGTCATCGGTTCAGAGAGATTTCTGGGCTGTGTAGAAACTTATGAAATTCTCTCCTTGTAAAAACTGGCCTGATGTGTATGAGAACGTAATTTTTTTAATACATCATCAGTTTATTATAATTGAATATTGATACACATTTATGTTCTCGAAATATACAGTCAACAACGAGTAATATGATATTAACACAACGACAATTGTAAATGGAAAAATGTAACCTAACACCCTTTGCTTCGTAAAATCCGTTGATTAGTGCATTTACGAGTAACATGAATACAATCATGTCCCACAGTATATTGAAAGTATACTGTCAAAAACGTTTTTAAGAGAGAGGTCCGGAAAATATTTTTTCTTTCAGAGTAAACAACGTGCATTCACAATAACAAGTACAAATTAAAAATCTTGAGCTTCTTAAAAAAATATTTACTACTTGCTCAACATAATGATTTCAACGAAGCCCATATTGTAAAATCAAACTCTATAGGCTCCGGAAACTCTGATCCTTAATGCATTACATGGAAAAGAGAGGGAACAAGATGAAGTTATAATGTAGTTAAAAAAAAGAGTCCCAACTCACAAGAAAAGATATTACTGATGACGGAACTTATTCTTCTAAACTGAAACTACTGCTGCATTGCCACCTTTGCTAACTAAAGGCTTCCGCACACGAGTCATTAATATTCATATGAATCTCACCGGCGACGTCGAGACATTTCTCGTCGGACGCTGCACCGCCCAGATAAGTAAATTCCCACATCGCGTTCTCGCCTCCCGCTCCAACTTGCAGCCGTGGCCCTAAAAGTGCCGCTAAGAGTGCCTTAGCGGCGCGCCCAAGGGCCCAGTCTCACGGGTGCGCGGGGGGCGGTGGTTGTGTCCGCAGAGCAAGGGGGTGGCGTTTGCGGTGCGGACCAACGTTAGCTACGACGGCTCCCTGGACGACGATTCGCCCGTGCACGGCAGCGCCATCTCCTTCGAAGTGCGAGACTTCCTGCACATCAAGGTAAGTCCCCGCGCCGCAGTGCGAGCCCGTGCCCCTCTTCCTGCCCCACTCCTCCTCCTCCTTCCAACTGCCCGTCGCGAGCGACGAGACGCGTAAATCCTGGTGAGTGTGAGTGAGTGAGTGAGTGAGTGAGTGAGTGAGTGAGTGAGTGAGTGAGTGAGTGAGTGAGTGAGCGAGCGAGTGAGTGAGCGAGTGAGTGAGCGAGTGAGTGAGTGAGCGAGTGAGTGAGTGAGCGAGTGAGTGAGCGAGCGAGTGAGTGAGCGAGTGAGTGAGCGAGCGAGTGAGTGAGCGAGCGAGCGAGTGAGTGAGTGGGTGGGTGAATGCGTCAGTACATAATTGGGTTTTTGATTGACCTCGGGCACGTCAACTGCATTAGTCCCGTAAGTGTAGTCTGTTTTGTGGCGGGATGTGTCTGTGATCTTCCCCCGCTGAATGGCCCGAATATCCGGCGTCGATTGTGCGAGATCGACCAGCGGGTATTTTCCTTAACCACGAAGCTCTCGACCGGTCTCCCAAATGATGTGGTATGCTAGAACATGTATGTGAATGTGTGTGAAAGTAAAGGACACGAGTGTGAAGATAATACACAAGAGGCGTCTTTCCCAGCCAAAAAAAGCTCCCTATTGCTCTCCCAAAATGTATGTTAATGTGGTGCATCAAAGTGTTAAAGTGTGGAAGTGGAGAGGGTAAGAGATGGAAGAGGTAGAAATATTTATCGTGCATTCCCTGGCCAGTTTGTGAGGGTAATGCTCAGACATTCACCTGATAGTGGTTGGGGAAACCACAGATCACTACCGATCAGAGCACTCGCCCGCTAGATTTCTCTTCCAGGCAGTGCTTGAATTCGACCAAGTTAGGGTTTTAAAACTGCCACAGTCGGGTCTCGAACTCCTTCCGATGTCGGAGAGGCTCAGCGTAAACAGTTATTGCACTCAGCCATACTCACTCTACCGGTGTGAATATTGCCCACGCCAAAATCTCCATCAAAATTGAAAGAGTCAGTAAGCAATATTAGCGAACCACTTTAATGTTTGTAAGAGTTTAAACTTTCAGCCCATTTAATGTTCAACAGAAACATGTAAACCAATATTTTTGTTTTCAACAAAATTTGTTCTAAAGGCCAGCACATTAAGAAAAGGTCATGTACCACTTTTTTGGGAAAACGAGTACTTTTGCATAATTTGTACTGAAATTAAAGTAATTTGTAAAAAAATATATTCTCAAATACTGCACCAGTTTTTAAATATTTTCCTCGTTTAGAACAAGAGAACGTTTAAAAGAAGAGCGCGAGTCTAATTTTCTCTGAACTTTCTGAATTTTCAAAAATGTAAAATTCAGAAATGCCAGAAAGTGTGTGCTGATGTAGCACCTCTAGTTTGTGTTAAGCCCCGCGGTCTCATTTTTCTCAAAGGCGGATACTCGAGGTGCGAGGGACGCTTGGGCGCGCTTGCTGAGTACTTTGCGCTCTAGGTGACGGAGGCTGCCTCTGGAGATTCGCCGGCTGTTCTTTATTCAGCGAATCCTGAATCTTTAATCGTTCGCGAGAAAGAATCGAGAAGCGGCGAAAATTGGTAGCTGAGAAAAGCGCATTCCTTTGACGGCATACTGTGAAATTCTTCGAAAGTTCCGTTGTATTGCAACACAAAATCTTCTGCTTGCCTTTATTGTCTATTTAAAGTCGTTTCGTCTTTAGAAGCAGAATACCTGGACTTATAGTTGGCAAACAATACACTTTGTGATGTTACCACATTTTACTGCATTATGTTCAATATGTAGCAGAATTAAGGATTCTGGAAATAATCTATTAATGTGATAAATTCACTATTACTATAATTATTATCATATTATACAATATAGTTCCATGTATCAACTATTCTCAATTCTTACTGCATTCATGAATGTTGTTTCCATTTGCCAATTTCAATGATACCAGAAGTGCATGTCTATACGCCGGCTCCATTTCTTGTTTGCTTCATTTATGATTCGTGTAAAATATTCATCCCAATTAAATTTTCAAAATAATTAGTTACAATATTTTTATTGCAAGCACCTCGTGCATCGCAAAAATTTTGTCGACAAAAATAATACATATTGAAGAACACAATTTATGCCTTTATAAATGAAATTGGAATATTGTGGCTACAATACTGTATTGTAAATTACAGACGAATAGCACTTGTTCAGAAGCGGAATAGTTTGGTGTGAACTGATAGCAATGTCTTCCTTTCCTGTCGCAAATAAATGGACAATAACACTATATTTTTTCGATACAAATTCGATTCGTCATACTATGAAAAATGAGATTAAAAACTACGAGATTTAGAGTGGACATGGGTAAATTTTTCAATTCGAGCATAAGACCTTCAGATCTATTCGTCAATGAAGGCATTGTGTAGTATTCTTTATCATTCGAACTAACCGCTCCCTTTCACGGATATAATTTCTTTCCACTTGCGTAAAAATACAGAGCGCTCTTCGCTTCCTGGAGAGGCGCGCCCCGCCCGCTCGGCGGCGCAAAGCAGGACTCCCCGCGCGCCCCCGCCCCGCTTCCCTCCCCTCCCAGCGCCGCGACGCTGCGGCAGCGGAGGAAAGAAAAAGGAGAGAAGTCTTTGAGGCAGGGTAAAGAGGGGAGGGGATGTGGAGGAGAAAGGACGTCTCTGGTGTTGCCCCGGCAGAGGGCCCTTTGAACGCCGCCATCCACCCCCGCCATGACGTTCCCCCTCCACCCCACATCTCCTCCCACTCGACCGCCCCTCTCCCCGCCGCTGCCAGCGCTGCGCTGCGCTGTGCTGCTCTGCGCTGCGCTGCCCCCAACGTACTTCAAAGAACAGCGGCACAGGGTGCCCTACAGGCTGCGCGGATAGGGTGATTTCCAATGTGTGATGCAACAAAAATAGTTGAATACGATTAATTATATGTTTGAATAATTCTAATATATTGAATAATTCGAAAGAAATAGTAGTTGTCCTGTTCAATAATTAATCTTTTACCTAAATCAATGTCATGACCTTATAATTTAATATAAATAATGAAGTAACTGGCTGCACTATAAATCGCGTAATAGTGTAAGTGAAACTATGAGGTTTATTCTAATCGTTTCATTATCACACCTTTCCTATGCTTAGGCGGAAGAAAAGCGCTTATGAAAACAATAAGAATTGGATAAATAGCTAAAGCGATAAATAACTACAGCGATAATTTCAATACCTGATGGTTCCATTGGTTGCACAATGTGTAAAAACGTATGGTTTTACATAATGTAAAAAGAATGATTTTAAGTAACGTAATTCAGGCTAAATTACTTATATTCTTAAAATAGTGCCGTTTGTGCCTTCAATGATTAAAACTCGTTGATTTACTCAAAAAGTTAAGAGAAAGCAAGTGGAAATTCGCTAAGTTCACATGAAAATCTTCATTCGGCATCTCGACGACTAACTCATATTTTTGAAAAGTTCCTGTGGATATTTATAATAATTAGTTTTGATTCATGAATAATTTATTTAGTGTCACGCTCTTCTTCAAAACGATAATTATTCAACGCTTCACGCGAAGACGAATTTCACTTAACGTTACACGCTTCAGGCGAATTTTTTTGAGCAAAAACTGGGATTCTACAAGAAACACTTCAGCAGATTGAATATAGGATATTAATGACTTTCAGAAGTAGCATTTTTGGTATTCTCCATTGTTCTCTTCGCGATGAAATGATGAATTCTTAAAAATTGTCATGATTGGTGGATTGTCGAACATATTGAGAAATCTCTCTCAATTGGTTATTCTAATACGTTTATTATTATTATTATTATTATTATTATTTTTTTTTAATGTTAATTGATATCTTCCTTGAACAACTTAGTATGGTGGCTCTCACAACGGAGGAAAAAGTGGAGACAACAGATTTTACAAGCCGTTCGAGCAATACTGGAAGCTGCCCGGTTTAGAGGTTCCCTAACGAAAAATTTTTAGTAACAACTATACGTTTCATGTTAACCTACGTTAAAAATCATTTATATGCAAAATTTTCCATGCTCTTAATGCGATTGTATGCTTAAATCCCTACCTCCAGCAATGCAAAAACAATGTATAATAAAAATTCCCTTATGATAGACGAATATATTTTTAAGATATAATCGACTTCCTACGGCCTAAGAAACAATTAAGTAATACTGATAATTTTGTATACCACTTGAATTGTTTGCATCACAGAATCCTAACTGCGACGATGAAACAAGTGTTTAAATCCGCATGCTCCCCGCTGCCCGGATGACGCCGCCTCGAACGACGTGTAATCGATATCACTTGAATGTTTAAATCGTTTCTCAGTAAAAATGATAGTATCGAGATTCTTGATAGTATAATGTATAGTATAATAATGATAGTATCTAGTTGTTGCGAACAAGGAAAGAAGGGATAGCTTGCAAAGTTTTCAGTAGCAGTGCAGAGGAGTGCCCAAGCGCCGTCTGAGAGGAGCAGGTGGAAGCATTTTATTAGGAGTGCCCCAAGGCTGCGTCTGTGGGTTGAGTTCCGTCGTTGCGCTGCTGCTTCCTGTCTTTTGCCGCCTTCTTTCGGCGCATTCCACGCCCACATCGACTCCACCCACACCAACAAGGGCCCCATCACCACCACCACCACCGCCGGCGCCCTCGATCATCTCCTTGCCCCCACATTCACCGCCGCCTTCTCATCGCCACCGGCCACCCGGTCACCCGGTCACTCGCGCCTTCCTTCCACCTCGCAATACTGCATTCGACTTTGCCCCGTCGTCGCCTCATTCCGCGCCGTTACCCACCACCTCACACGTACCTTATCGCTATATCTGCTCTCGACACCAACGCCGTAAATGTTTCCGCCATATCACCAACCGCGCCAGCGTCTCTGCCCATACCTCCCGCATCGCCCCGCCCCTCCAATCTTTCGTCCACCTCACCACTCTGAATTCATCTTCGCCCACGCTCCCGTACTCCTCTCACGTCCGCAATTATTTCCGCCCTCGTCCATAC